GCCTCGGCCTCCCAAAGTGCTGGGATTACAGGCTTGAGCCACCACGCCCGGAAGAGCACTGGTTTTTCTTATTGAAAATGACTGGGTTATAAAGTTGTTTCCCTACACTGCTGTGTGTGTAGTGTGTTCCATGAAATATGTGGAGCCAGCAGACTTTAATGGATCGCTGGAGATGGAGCCCTCACTCAGGGTGGATGATTGCAGAGCAGTTGTGGGCAAGTCCCTAGTCAATGTGATGTGGAGTCCCAGAAACAGGTTGCCACATCCAGATGACCCCACTGATAGGCAGGGTAACTGGCATGTTTAATTTTTTTTCTTTTGGAATCTGGGAAGACAGACGAGGTATTTTTGCTGTGTGGGATACCATAAAGCCAGACTGAAGAAGCATTAAGGAGAGCAGTTGATGTAAGCACCTCTTGGAAACCATGCTACTAAGTCTTGACCATCTGTCTTTTGGTGCAAGAGAATCAACCAGTTCAAAATAGTAAGTAATTGCTAATAATTCATTAGGGCTTAAGTTCAACAGTCAGTGGCCAGGCGTGGTGGTGCACACCTGTAGTTTCAGCTACTCACGAGGCTGAGGCATGAGAATCACTTGAACCTGGGTGGCATAGGTTGCAGTGAGCCAAGATCGCACCACCACACTACAGCCTGGGAGTGGGTGGGGGAGGCAGTTCGATCTACAACCAAAGCCATCTTTGCGTCTCTCCCCGGCTTTTTCTTGGTTCAGCACTTCCCGTCTGCAACCTAAAAACATGTGCCTGTGTGTCTACTTGGGGTAGACATTTTCATTCAGTAGCTTTTCAAAATATGTGTGAATTAGTATTGGACTTTTATCTCACATATATCTGCCTATAGTTTTTAATTTTCTTAAATTTTTTTTTTTTTTTGAGACAGGGTCTCTGTCACCTAGGCTGCACAACTTCAGGTCACTTGCAGCCTCGACCTCCTGGGCTCAAGCAGTCCTCCCACCTCAGCCTCCCCAGTAACTGGGACTATAGGCACATGCTTTGGCATGCCTGGCTAATTTTTGTAGTTTTTTTAGAGCTGGGGTTTTACCATGTTGCCCAGGCTGGTCTCAAACTCCTGGGCTTAAGTGATCCACCCTCTTCAATCTCCCAACGTCCTGGGATTACGGGCATGAGCCACTATTCCCGGCCTACTTAACATTTTTTTTTCTTTTTTCTTTTTTTTTCTTTTTCTTTTTGTTTTTTGAAGATAGAGTTTTACCATGATGGCCAGGCTGGTCTTGAACTCCTGACCTCAGGTGATCCACCCACCTCGGTGTCCCAAAGTGCTAGGATTACAGGCTTGAGCCACTGCCCCCGGCTACTTTTTTTTTTTTTTTTTTTTAAAGACAGAGTGGATTATTGTCCTTTAATGGTTTTACTTTGAATTTATTATATTGTCATTATTTCATGTCCTTATTTTGCTTGATATCTTTTGTAATGAAACACAGAACCACTAGCTCCATTTTACTAGTGATCAGGGTCCTTAATTTGGTACCAGATACCTGACTTTTTTAGAATTGACACTTGGCTTTTGAACTCAATTCAGTCAGGTGTGGGGTAAAAGTATAAATTGGAGCAGTTAACTGTAGCTGTAGTAAACACGGCATCTGGTTGCTTACTTCAATCTATAATGTACTGAAGACTTGAAAGTTTATTTCTGAAAAGAGCCAAGTATAAAGTATGTTGGCTGGGTGCGGTGGCTCACACTCATAATCCCAGCACTTTGGGAGACTAAGGCAGGTGAATCATCTGAACTCAGGAGTTCAAGACCAGCCTGGCCAACATGGTGAAACCCTGTCTCTACCAAAAATACAAAAATGTAGCCAGGCATGGTGGCATGCACCTGTGATCTTAGCTACTCGGAAGGCTGAGGTGGGAAGATCACTTGAGCTTGGGAAACAGAGGTTGCAAGTAAGCCAAGACCATGCTACTGCAATCTAGCCTGGGTGACAGGGCGAGATTCTATCTCAAAAAAATAAAAATTAAAAAAGTATGTTAATGGCAATCTATAAAATAATATGTATATATTTTTTGAGACACAGTCTTACTCTGTTGTCCAAGCTGGAGTGCAGTGGCATGACCTCGGCTCACTGCAATCTCTGCCTCCTGTGTTGAAGCAATTCTCATGCCTCAGCCTCCAGAGTAGCTATGCCACCATAAGGGGCGGGTTTTTTGTTTTTTGGTTTTTTTTGAGATGGAGTCTTCCTCTGTCACCCAGACTGGAATGCAGTGGTGTGATCTCAGCTCACTGCAACCTCTGCCTCCCGGGTTCCAGCTATTCTGCCTCAGCCTCCCAAGTAGCTGGGACTACAGGTATGTGCTACCATGGCTGGCTAATTGTGTTTTGAGTAGAGACGGAGTTTTACCATGTTGGCCAGGCTGGTCTTGAACTCCTGACCTCAACTTATCTGCCTGCCCCTGGCCTCCCAAAGTGCTAGGATTACAGGCATGAGCCACCCGCACTCGGCC